ACTGTAGTTCTTTCAGTTGCTTGTCTGCCTTTCTAACACGTGTAGCTGGTTTTGTTTGTCATCAGTTCTCTTACGTATGTGCAGCAGACACTCACTGTTTTCCTTACATGAGCAAATATTCTTATTTATTTTTCTACACTTCCTCTTATTACTTAAATACGGACTTGGAGTCAGTAGTCATGAATCACCTTTGTACTTCCTCCCAATGCCTGGTGTGACACTTTACAGAGAGTACAGACTGAGTCAGTCTCTCTCCTGACTCTCCTGACTCACAGCGGTGGGAAGCCCTCCCCCTGTAAGACTCTGCACTTAGTAGGTACAGAACTCATAGACCATCACCCTTTCAGCTTCCTGAATCATTCTCTCTGTTCAGTTCCGACTTAGTCTCCCACATTTCTCTTTCCAGATAATGACAATGTTTTTTAAAGGCCAACCATCTGAAAGACTTTGGAAACTTACCCTTCAGGACTGAGGAAGTAGTTCAGTGATAGAACATTTGTGTGGCATGTGTGGGGTCCTGGGTTCAAACCTCAACACCACGAAGAAAAAAATAGAGAAAATCCAACCTCCATTATTGATAGGAAGATCTGACAGGGAAGCAGGTACAGAACAGTTGGGGGTGCAGGGTGTGTGTGTGTGTGTGTGTGGGGTCAGCTTTGGCTTCTATCACAGCATCCCTGAAGCTTCAAGCGCTTAAACTTTGTATCTGCCTGGCCACAGCGATTCTTATTCACAGACATTAATATGCAGATCTGGCTGAGAACAGAGATAGACAGAAGCCAAGTGACTGCTGACTGTAGGTGCTTGCTCATGACTTCTGAAGCAGAGGGGCTCGAGGTGTTAGGGAGTGGGATCCTAGGGCTGAGGATGCAGCCACAAGGTGAGGGCATCGGGCCAGGATGAGTGAGGCCACTCAACGGGAGACTTCGGCATGACAAGAGCTCGTTTCCTCATGACATCACAAGAAAATCTCAGAGCTGTTCCATTTAACGTCCCCATGACACAGGATTCTCTAGCAGATTAGCTGGGGCAGAAGGCATGCCTTTGACTCATTCATCTTCAGAACAACTGGCAAGAAAAAGCCAGGGGTGGGGTGGAGGTACAGCTGAGGGGAAGAACACATCCTCGCATACGTGAGGCCTTGAGTTCAAACCCTACCGCTGTTTTTACAAAATAGTTTTGAGAGAAAGGAAGAAAAAAAGAAAGGATTAATGTTTGGAAAGGGAAGATGCAGCCTAGCAAGAAGTTTTGGGTGGCGGGGAAACAATGGGAAAAGAAAAGTTAAGTGTGGGACTGTGTATCTGTAATTCCCGCACTCAGCAGGCTAAGGCAGGAGGATTGCATCAATTACAACTAGTGCTAACTGGGACTACAAATTATGATCCTCAAGAAACACAAACCACGGGACTGGAGAGATAGATCAGTGGTTAAGAGCACTGGCTGCTCCTGCCCAGGACCTGGGACCCACGTGGCAGTTCACAATTGCCTGTAATTCTAGTTCCAGGGACTTCAATGACCTCTTCAGGTCTCCTTGGGTACTATGCATGTGAAACATATATTCATGCATGCACATAAAATAAAAATAAATTAAATTTTAAAAAGAAAAAATAACTCTGCTTGCCCATATTAAAAATGTACAATTCTTAAGGTGGTTTAACATGGTGATTCTGGTGGCATCCACCTGCAATCTTAGTTACTCTGGAGGCTTGCAACATGGGAATCAAAAGTAAGATTCGGTGTTAAAATAAAAAGTAAAAAAGAACACTGTATATTAGCACAGCAGGCTTGCCTTGCATATGCAAGACCCTAGGTTCAATCTTTATCCTTAGAGAGGAAGAAGAGGGAGGGAGAGAGAGGAAGAAGCAAAGGGAGGAGGAAGATGAGAAGGGAGAGGAGGAACTTTGGCACACCGGCAGGAACATACAGAGTAACAGGACAGGGCAGGATCTACATGGAACCTTCAGTAAACAGTAGTGGGACAATTTATTATAGCTTAGAGAAGGTAAAGTTAGTTTTTAATCTTACATTTTCACCAAAATATCTTGGGTATTTCAACTTTTCCAGAATACATGCTGAGATTTATCATCATAACATCCCATGTAATCTAAAAACAACACCTGAGTATAGCCCAGTTTCCTAACCTGTGATTTATTCACAGAATTGGACAGAATGCAGTTGTTGAAAGATGTTCAGGAGATCTGGATGGACTAATGGAAAAAGTGGGAAAATGTCCAAAATATATTTTTAGATGATTAAAAACAAGATATAGTTTTGAAAAAATGAGGGAGCCAGAAAGATGACTCAGTGGGTAAAGGCACTTGCCACCAAGACTGACAACCCATGTGGTACAGGGAGAGAACTGACTTCACAAAGTTCTGGGCACCATGTGCATGCCAGGGCACACCCCCACCACATCGTGTGTGCACACAAAAATAGATAAAAAATAGAGTGCTTTACACACTTACTGTTGTACTTTTCTAACTGGAAATTGAATCCATGGCTTCATCTATGCTAGGCAGGGACTCCTCCACTGAGCTAAATGTCTAGCGTCTGTCTGTCTGTCTGTCTGTCTGTCTGTCTGTCTGTCTCTATGGTGTGAGTGTAGGTGTGTTTTAAAGAGAACATTCAAACACACAGTTTTTCTGGAAGGATAGAATAAAAGAAATCTAATGCAGGCTACCACTGACGACAGAATGAGGAAAGACAGGAAGAAAGATTCATTATCATTTTGTTACATTTATTTATTTGGAAGGGGGCACACCATGGATCTTGTGTGGAGGTTAGGGGACAGTCGGTGGGAGCCATTCCCATCCTACCATGAGGGTTCCAGAGTCGAATTCAGAGTAAAGCTTCACGGCAGTCTCCTTTACCCTCAACTAATTCTTACCCAGAGGCAAGATTTTTAGTTTTGCTACTTAATCTTCAGGTGTCACCTGAATTTATTGTCAAAAGTGTGGATCAATTTTAGAAAAAAAAAAAAGAAAGCAAGAAACAACAATAATAACCAGTAAAGGAAGGAGAGGGGGCAAGGACATCATGTTTTCAGTTTCAAATCTTTGAAAGATAGCTGTTAGCACAGATAAATCTTGATTGCACGTTCAGACTGGGTTCTAGAACCATCCACCCAGGGAACCGTATCATCTTGGTCCAGAAGGGGTTCTTGTTATCTAGTACAGAATCTATCTATACAGCTGCAGCAAACACAGTGCCCATGTTTCCTGGGACTTTGCCATCACAATGGCAGGATCACCTAGATAGACACACAGAGCCCTGGAAACCCTGGTATTAACAGTGAGGACACAGAAACAAAGACCAGGGCTTCACGCTGGTTGACGAAGAAGACTCAACGGAAGCTGTCAGTCACAGCCTCTGTGAGGAGCCAGGCTTAGAAGCAGTAACTCATGGAGCCAGTGGCAGGGGCAGGTGGGGGTGGCACAGCCTTACCTTGTAGTGGCTGATGGCATTTTCAATGGAGAGCTCAGCATGAGACTGGTGTTCGGGGGACTTGAGGCATTCCACACACAGGAGATGTCTGCTCGCCTCACAGAACATGCACACCCTCTTCCGGTGGCTGATGCAGATATAACCGTCCCCGAGGACCCCCTCAGAGTAGGGCTTCCTGCAGACTGGGCAGCTGAGGACCCCAGAGACTGAGACCTTATCCATGTACTGGGTCAGGCACATTCGGCAGAAGAGGTGGCCGCAGTCTGTCTTCACAGCCTCCTTCACGGGATCCAGGCAGATGGGACAGATGTCCTCCTCATTGTCCTTGTACAGAGGAACCATGGCCCCCACCTCACCAGTCCCTCCACCGGGTCATTTGCAGGCCAGAGAGTCCCAGATGAGAGGGCTCCGTGGAGCTGATCTGGAGCAGGAGAGAGTGGACTCAGACCTGGACTTCAGGTCCACCCTGGATCAGAAAGGCCAGAGCCTGGGCTGTAAGAAACACAACCTAGCAGGAATTTCAGAAACAATTCAGTGTTTTCTAAGCTTAAAGTTAGTCATTATTTCTCATACGCCTCGAGGAAGCAGGTGACCCAAACTGCAAATCTGTTTTGCAAGTTTTCTGTGGAATCTTTTTACAGTTCAAAGCTAAATTTTAGGTCATGGTATCATGGCCAGAAGTAAACTATCAAGGACAAGCTGACATTCTTCTCTGCTGTGTGGCTGATGAGAAGAACTCAATAAGAGATTTATGTGTCCCTCCTATATGTTACTCTACAGGGCTCACTGCTGTTGCTGGTATCACTAACCACTTAAGGTGGAACCTTGTGATCAAGTCTTTATTAACCACCAAGTTTTCCAAGACTTCAGTGCTGTGGAGATGAAAGAGAAAGAGAACAGGAGAGAGAGACACACACACAGATACAGAGAGAGATAGACACACACACACACACACACACACACAGAGACAGACAGAGCATTTAATAGTATTTGAGGCTACATTGTCCCTTTCTTTCAAACACCTTCCAAGGATGACCCAAAGAAGGAATTGCCTCCTCTTCCCTCTTCCTGTCTGAGCCCTCCCCAAAATAGCTCTCTTACTATCCTACCTCAAATTTCTTCTTTTCAACTTCAGGTCATTTTCTTGGTCTCTAGACCGAGGGAGAAGGCCAGCAGAAGAGTGGATCTTCTTCAGTTATGCCAGTTATATATAGACACACGTCAGTAGAACTGGGGAGAGGGTGAAAAGACACATCCTGATTTAGCCCAGAATTATCAGGAAAAGGAAAATACACCCATGAGCAGGGCTCACCCAGCAGCGACATGGACTTTGCTGCAGGGTGTGGCGTATTTGCTTACAGGAAGAGGAAAGTCTTGATGCCTTTAATGCAAATCTCACAGGACTTGAGAAATACCTTACAGAATGAGCCCCAAGAATCCCACATGAGGAACCAGGAGTTCTGGTGGTGTCACAGGACCGTGACACCTGGGTGAGGCTGGGGACAGTGATATCATTGTCCTTAATGGTCTCAGCTTCAACAGTGGCAGTGCCCAGGGTACCACTAGGTATTTGTTTGTCTTATTGTTGTGACCTGAGGGAGGAGGGGCTTATTTCAGTTTACTGTTTGATGTTACTGTCCATGGTAGAGAAAGCAAGAAGGCAGCAGTGGCTGGAAGCTGTGGCGGCAGCAGCCTGAGGCTGCAGCCCACACCTGTGTCGGTCATGAAACTGAGATACCAGTGGTGCCCAGACGGCTTTCTCCAGAGCCCTTTCTCTTTTAGTCTGGGTTCCCAGCTCAGGGAACGACACCCACTTGAGTGTAGGTCTTCTCCCATCATTCGAGTCTCTCTGGAAACACTGTATCCACACAACTAAAGGTGTTCTTCAATGATGCCCTAGGCAGTTCTACACTCCCTCCTCCCCCCCCCTTCTGAAGTCTGTTGCCCACTCTGCATTATGGGGGCAGTGTTATATCTTTCCATCATTTCGTACCCTTTAAATGTAGCCTAGTTTTGAGTACCTTAAGCCTTCCATTGGAAACTTGCAGTCCTGTGAGAAAAACGTGAAAGTCGTCAGGATACAAATGAAATGGGTTTATTTCACCATAACAGCAAGCAGCATATCTTTCTCTTTTGGAGAATGGGGGGAGTCACAGTTGAGGCAGAGGTGTGGGAAAATGGACTGTATTCTGTCAATTATATTTTAAATAAACATTGATTGGCCAGTAGCCACACAGGAATTATAGGCAGGACAACCAGACAGGAAATAGAGGTCGTCAATGAGAACAGGAGAATTCTGGGAAGGAGGAAGCCTTGGAAGAAGGAAATTGAAGAAGACACCAGAAAGTGGAAAGATCTCCTATGCTCTTGGGTAGGTAGAATCAACATAAAATGGCACTCTTCCCAAAAGCAATCTACAGATTTAATGCAATTTCCATCAAAATCCCAGCAAAATTCTTCACAGACCTCGAAAGAACAGTACTCAACTATATGTGGAAAAGAAAAAAGCCAAGGATAGCAAAAACAATCATGTACAATAAAAGAACTTCTGAAGGCATCACAATCCCTGGCTTCAAACTCTACTACAGAGTTATAGTACTAAAAACAGCTTGGTATTGGCATAAGAACAGACAGATGGACCAATGGAACTGAATCAAAAACCAGGATATCAATCCACACATCTTGGAACACCTGATTTTTGACAAAGAAGCAAAAAATATCAAACGAAAAAAAAAGAAAGCATATATAACAAATGGTGAAGGAATAACTGGATATCAACATGTAGAAAAATGAAAATAGATATCTATCATCATGTACAAAACTCAAGTCCAAATGGATCAAAGATCTCAACATAAAGCCAGCCACACTAAACCTCATAGACAAGAAAGTGGAAAGTACACTTGAACGCATTGGCACAGGAGATCACTTTCTAAATATAAACCCAGTAGCACAGACACTGACCTCCTGAAACTGAAAATTTTCTGTAAAGCAAAGAACACAGTCAACAAGACAAAATGACAGCCTATAGAATGGGAAAAATCTTCATTAACCCCACATCAGACAGAGGTCTGTTCTCCAAAATATAGAAAAAACTCAAGAAATTGGTCATCAAAAGCGCAAATAATCTAATAAAAAATAGAGTACAGACCTAAACAGAGAACTCTCAACAGAGGAATCTAAAATGGCTGAAAGACACTTAAGGAAATGCTCAACATCCTTAGTCATCAGAGAAATGCAAATCAAAACAACTCTGAGATTCCATCTTACACCTGTAGGAATGGCCAAGATCAAAAACACTGATGAAACTTATGCTGGACATGTTGTGGGGTAAAAGGAACACTTCTGCATTGTTGGTGGGAGTGCAAGCTGGTACAGCCCCTTGGGATGTCAGTGTGCTGATTTCTCAGAAAATTAGGAAACAATCTTCCTCAAGAAACAGTAATACCACTTTTAAGTATATATCTAAAGGATGCTCAATTGTGCCACAATGACATGTGCTCAACTATGTTTATAGGAGCATTGTTTGTTAAACCCAGAACACAGAAAAAACCTAAATGCCCTTGACTGAAGAATGGATAAGGAAAACGTGGTACATTTACACAACAGAGTACTACGCAGCAGAAAAAAAATAATGGCATCTTAATTTTGCAGGAAAATGGATGAAACTAGAAAACATTTTTGAGTGAGGTAATCCAGACACACAAAGACAATTATCACATTTACTCACTCATAAACAGTTTTTATACATAAAGCAAAGAAAACCAGCCCACAAATCACAATCCCAGAGAACCTAGACAACAATGAGGACCCTAAGAGACTCACATAGATCTAATCTACATGGGAAGGAGAAAGTAGAAAAAGACAAGATTTTTTGAATAAATTTGGAGCACAGGGACCTTGGGAGAGGGTTGAAGTGGAGGGGAGAGGCAGGGAGAGGAGAAGAGAAACATGTAGAGCTCAATAAAAATCAATTAAAAAATTTTCTTTTTCCTCAGGATGGTCGAGATGGGGAAAAGGACAGAGAGGGAGAACAAGGAAAGAAATATCTTGACTGATGGAGCCATTATGGGGCTATCAAGAAACCTAGCACTAGAGAAATTCCCAGGAATCCCCAAGGATGATCTCCACTAAGCAATAGTGGAGAGGGTGCCTGACCTGGCCTAGCCCTGTAGTCAGATTGATGACTGTCTTAATGTCACCACAGAACCTTCATCCAGCAACAGATGGAAGCAGATACAGTGAACCACAGTGGAACACCGGGCTGAGCTCTCAAGTCCAGTCAAAGAGAGAAAAGAGTTAGAATACAAAGATGTCAAGACCATGATGGGGATACCCACTGAAACAGCTTTCCTGAGCTAATGGAAGCCTTTCAACTCCGGTCTGACAGTGAGGGAACCAGCATAGAACCAAACTAGGCTCTCTGAATGTGGGTGACAGATGTATGACTGGAGCAGACTGTGGGGTCACTGGCAGTGGCATAAGAATTTATCCCTACTGCTTGTTCTGACATTTTAGAACTCATTCTCTCTGGAGAGATACCTTGCTCAGCCTAGATATTATGGGCAGGACTATGGTCCTGCCTCAAAGCAATGTGCTAGACTTTGTCGACTTCAGGGGGGAAGATTTAATCTCTCTGGGGAGTGGAAGGGGGTGTGTGGAGGGGAAGATGGAGGAAGCAAAAGGAAGGGAGGTAGTGGGGAAAGGATTTGGCATGTAAAATGAGAAAAGACAGTTTTAAAAAAATAAATTAAAATAAAAACAACAACAAAAAAGAATTTCCATTTCCAAATTCCTTTTCTGATACAGAAACTGTGCGGCCTGTGTGGTTAGGGGATTTGATTCTCCTAAGGACCACATCACACTCCTCCTGCAGCAGTGAAGTAAAATTCCAAGGCAGACCCAGATTCAGAATTCACTCTCATTCTTTTTTTTTTTTTTTAATATCCAGGTTTAATGGGAGTTGTGCACTCTCAGGTGGCCCCAAGGGGGAACCGGGAAGCCACACAAACAGGACCACCGGGGGGAAAGAAAAGGAACCACCTCACTCTCATTCTTGTAGGTGACCCTACATAATGCCGCGAAGCACTCTGAGTCCTAGCCCCATTTGGTTCATATTCTGATCTTCTTACCAGCTTCATATATGTGCAATCTTAATGTCATCTCATCAATTCAAGTTAAGTGTACCTTCTAAATTATTCTAGCCTGAATTACTGGAACTGCCTAAAATGAAGCAATGGAGTGGTTCCTTCAGTTAATTGTTTTAGCAGACTGTAGGTTTCTATGTGGACAGTAGGTGGTGCTGCCTCCCAGGATAGGACACAAGGATTGGAAGCTGCTGCCACTGCCCTGTTCTCATTCATATTCTCTCTCTCTCTCACTTTATTTATT